TGTGCCAAGGCTTACGGTCTGAGCGGGACTTCTGCGGATGTTGGAAAAAGACTCGCTGCATTTCGCGGTTTTAGGCCTACTTGTCGTGCTGTGATTTGTGTTGAGCGGAACAAAGAAGAGGGACGGTGTTGACTAATATTTTTCAGAGTGGCCGAAAGCACTGACCAGTTAGGGTTTTGGAGCATTTTAGAACCATATCAACCTTTACTATAGATCCCTATTATGGTAACTTCAAGGAAGTCCTTGAGCAAGAGCCCAGAAGCCCTAAGCCCCAACCCAAAACTGGATGTCAACGTCTACAAAGCCGTACCTACACAGCTAGCAATCAGTGAATGATGGGCAATAATTTCCCTAAACCCTCAACCCTCAACCCAAAACCCTAAACCCAAAACCCTAAACCCTAAACCCTAAACCCAAAACCCTAAACCCTAAACCCTAAACCCAAAACCCTAAACCCTCAACCCCCGATGACCAGGGTCAAGCTGTAGAAAAAACATACGCCCAAAATCTACTCTGCTTACCAAAGCCCTTGTGATCATCATAATCATTATTCTTATTATTGTTATTTTTCTTGTTGTTACTGTTACTATTGTTATAAGAAGGTTTGTAATAGTTGTTACTGGTAGTTTATTACTGTTAGTATATCGTCAACCTAGCCTGAACTGTTGGGAGGCAGGCATGCCTCTCTCGGGCTCCATGCGATCAGCTGCCCTTGGCCCAGAGGTAAAAATGCTCAAACATAGGGTTTCGGGCGTAGGGTCTAGGGTAAGTTTCGGGTTTAGGGTTTAGGGTAAGTTTCGGGTTTAGGGTTTAGGGTAGGTTTCGGGTTTAGGGTTTCGGGCTTAGGGTTTATGTCCAGGGCGTAAGGGGGCAGTTGAGGCCTCTGTTTGTTTTAGTGTCAGGTCCCTCTTCTTGGGTTCGGGGGCAGTGCTCGGGCTACTTTTCGCTGTCGTCGCCATCGCCATCACCCCCGCCATCTTCACCGTCATCAAGGCCGTCATCATCGCCCGTAACCACGCTGGGGGCTTCGGATTTCGAGCTTGACTTGAGCAGTTTCACCGGCTTGAGGTTGAGTCTGCCAAAAGAAGAAGCTTGATGCCGGCGGGAGCATCAACATCCAGCAGCATTCGATGAACTGTTCGATATGGCACATAAGGCCTGCTGCAAGTCTTTGATTTCCTGTCCTGATGCTGACGACCAGCAGGCAGTCACATCCGTGAAACAAAGGACACGCTAAACGACTACGTGGTTACGTACGCAGGAAGCAGCCGACTTGGTCGGAGGACATGGTTCGTCTGGCAGCTGCAAGCAATGTCTACAGAACTCGCCTGACAGACATCTTCGTCCCTGATTTTGTCAGTCTCATCTGGATCATTGAGGGCGAGAGATACATGCGCACACACCAGGGACTTTGTTATTTGTATCACAAGGACGGAACATTTGAGCCATACAAAGGTGTTCCTCCAGAGCCAACATTTTAGTTGAGATCGGAAGGCGCATTGCGACTCATGTCGCCTGGTACAGAACGCAGCGACTCGGGCATCGTGCAAGAAATCGCCAAAACTCTGCCATTTTACAACCACGGTGAGGAAGTTTTAGTCGCTTGCGAAGATGCAGCTGTGATGGCGGATATGGGAGGACGCCGGAAAGGTTGAAATGAACAACAAGGAGAAGCGCCTCCTCCTGTTGGTTGGCCAGAAAATACGGCCTTCATGCTCGTGAAGGTCATGACGCCGCTCCAAAACACTTGCCTGAAGAAAGACTCTAGATGTCACCGCTTTATAAAATCTTAAATGTTATTGGTCGATACATTCAGAAGTTGTAATTGTAATGGTACACTATTATATCATGCATTCTTTCTGATGTGTCGACGTGGAGCTGAAGGACGTTTGCTACAGTTCATGATCCAGTGGTGTGATACTCCCTCGCAGCGGCAATCTGGGTGCGCATATCAGGATTAGGTGCTGCCGGGAATTGCTAATTTTTAAGACGGCAGCGCCGCAGGTCTCCCAGAAGACGATACAGGGGTTCACAGGGTCCAGGGTCTGGGGTGAAGGATTTATCGCATCTCACCTTCCTTCATTGAAAAGCTCACACAACACCACGCAACTACTCGCACGACCCCAACGTTCACGAAAGACGCCTGCAGAAATTTGGGGGAAGCCCCGAGACCCCGGAAAGGAATTAAAGAGTAAATTGCATTGTATCGCTTAAATACACCCTGAGTCCTATCACCCTAAAAACAGAAACCCTTAAGCCTTCATGCCCTAAAACCCCCAACCCTAAATGCTTGTCGCTTCGGTACGGGATCTCCATGCACAGCTGGCAGCACCCATAGCGTACAGCTACTTGTTTCTGCTACTTCCACCAGCGTGGTAGGAGTTATTTAAGGGCGGGTCTGATTCTTTGAGGGTTTACGCAGCTTTTGCTACAAAATTCCGCCAAGCCACCCAAGGCTGGGATGAACCTGACGGGCAGTGCGCGCGCGGCAGTGGGGGCCCTAAGTCCGAAGCTTTAAACCATAAAACCTAAACCGTACACCTCAAAAGCCCAAAACCCGAAAACAAAGCCGTAAACCTCAAAAGCCCCATAGGAGTCAGGGTTTCGGAATGTGAGTTTCGGATAGCCCTACAACGGGTTTCGGCTGAAGGAAGAGCATGAAGTCACCACTATCCTCGATAATGACCCCTCCGCCGAATATCCACATGCCCTAATTGCAAACACTTGTGCAGCCGGAAACTTAAGGCACGAACCTTAAACTATTATGAAACTATCCTCATAAGTCATTGAGCCCCCAAGACCTCAAACCCAGATTGCCAATGGCCCTGTAGCCCAAAAGCTTCTCTACCTTCAACCCTGAACCTTGAACCCTAAATCCTACACAAAAATGCCCAACAAATCACAAAGCCCCCCTAAACTTAAGGCCCAAAGCTCAAAAACCCAGAATTGAGGCCCAACTCCAATACGCCCCCAAGCTTCCGAAGCCTAGGCAGCCCAGGTCTTGCAAGCTCCGAGCCACAGAACCCTTCGGTGGATCAGGATCTCCATATCTCTGTCTCTATCTTTATCTCTATCTCTGACCGGTTTTTGTGTCTCTATTTATCGCCATCTCTATCTCTACCTCTCTATCTATCCGACCTCTTTTTTATATACTTCTCTTTATAGATAGCTATATATATATATATATATATATATGCGGGCATAGTATGTAAGTAGCATCGGGCCTGAATACGTAGCTCGGGTTCCTTCATAAACCTGTGCTAGTGCATAGCCAAACAGCAATACCCAATGATGGAGGCCTCTACTTCTAACCCTAAACCCTGAGCCCTAAACCCTAAACACCAAGACCCCTAAACCCCTAAACCCTAACCCTAGTTGCTAAGTCTCATGATCCTTTGAGTCGGTTCCCAAGCCCTGTTGAAACCGTGGTGTATTGTAAAGGGATTGGGGGGTACACGGTTTAGAGGTTGAGTGAGGGAGTCCCGTTCCCTAAACCATAAACCATATAACACTAGCAACAATCACAATTCTATGAGTAATAACTGCTAAACTTAAGGTTCAGTGCACAGGTCCACAAGCCGTCGAGATCCTTCCTGCACGCCCGAAGGCTCACAGCGGAGGGTGTGCGCACGTCAGAAAGAGCCTTTGCATTACGCGTGTAGAGGTTGTCCTAAGATCCAGGCTCCACTACTTACCGTGTAATAGCTTTCAGATCGCATTGGTAGCGACGCAGGGTTAGGATACCTCTACCTAATTCTGATGGCTGATCTCCGATTCGACGACGACTTGTTCGACTTTCCTGGCGCAGTCGACGTCGAGGAAGAGAGCGCCGAGAGCGCTGAGCTCGACGACGATGCCGCTTCGGTCGGCACTGGCGCAGCTGACCCTGGTGTGGCTTTGCCCCAGGGAAGAGTTCGGAAAAGAGGCTCCCGAGGTGGCTCTGGGCCCGGCAGCAAACCTCAGGATGAGAAGAGATGGAGATCCGGGCAAGTACCTTCGGCCCCTTCCTTCGACGGCGACGTGGAGAGCAACCCCTACTGCATGAGACACTACCGACGAAGGCTCATGAGGTGGGTTCGCATAACCCGCGAATACCTTCCTCCGAATGAACAAGCGCTAAGAGCTCTAGAACAGCTTCAGGGCGAGGCGGAGCTGGAGTTCGAAGAGGTCGACGATGCTCGTTTCGACCACAAGGAAGGTATCCAGCGGCTCCTTGACGACCTCGAGAAGGCCTTCGGCGAGAGGGAGATCTTCCGTCAAGGCGGTGTAATCCGGGAGTTCGAAAGTGTGGGACGCATGCAGGGCGAGTCAATCACCGCCTTCATACGTCGCTTCAGGCTCCTGGAAAGAAAACTCTCTGACAACAAGGTGCCATCGTACCCGGAGCAGGCCAGAGTGATCAAGCTGCTGGACGGCCTTCGCCTGGATGAGAAGGCGACGGCAGCTGTTTTGCTGGCGGCGGGAAATAAGTACGAGATGGCCAGCGTGTTGGAGGCTCTTCGCATCCAGTACCCGCCGGGCATGAGTATCACGGGACTTCCTAAGGGTCTGGCAACCTTGTCGGTGAGATCGGCCAGGACTTCTTCTACATCCTCCCGCTCCTCCTCGTGGCGATCATCTTCGACGGCGAGCTCACGGAGGACTTCCAGGCAGAGTCGCCCTACTAAGTGGACACACTGGCAGTCTGAGTGGGACGAGGGAGTACCTGAAGAAGACCCGCACGAGTACGAGGGCGAGGCCGATGGAGGAGATCAGGGCGAGTACCTGGCTGAAGATGAGCCCAATGCGCAGGATGATGACGCGGGCGACGATGACGAAGAACTTGTCCCCGACGAGGGACAGGAGCCTCCGGAGGAGGACGCCGCAGCAGACGATGCAACTGCGGCCATTGTCGCCGCCGCCCAGGCCCTCACCGTGACTTCAAAGAAGCTGGCTGGACTGGTTCAGGGTCGTGGCTTCTACAACACCGATGCCAAAGGCAAGGGTCGTTCTGGCAAAGGACACGGCGGGGACAAGGGCAAGAGTGGCAAAGGGAAAGCCAAGAGCAAGGGACGTGGCGGTCCTAAAGGAAAGGCTCCCGCCCGGAAGGGCGGTGGCAAGGCTGGAAATGGTCAGGACCGTCAGCAGCGACTTCGCGGATCCCTTTGCCTAGGCTGCGGCTCCGCTGATCACTGGATCCGTGACTGTCCTCACGTCACGAATTTTCAGGCTCAGATGGCTTCAGCTGACATGGAGCTGGACCCAGAGGGCTCACCCGTGTTCGGCTCCTGGATGACATCAAGCTTGATCGAGTCCGGTGAAGAAAAGGAGTCTTTCGTGTATGAGATTCCCAGGCCTCCGAGTGTGTTGCTGAGTTCGTGTTCCGATGCTACCTTTCTGATCGCGGATACTGGATGTCAGCGTCAAGTAGCTGGGAGTTTGTGGCATCAGCAACACCAAGCCGAGCTTTCGCCTTTGAAGCCCCTGCGTTTCCCTGAAGTCTGCAAGTTCTCCTTTGGTCCTACGGAAGGAACGCCAAGCCAGGGGAGGTGGATGTACCCGGCGGGAATTGCGGGGGAGATGGTGGCACTGGGGATAAGTGAAGTATGCTCTGCCGCGCCGGGATTGTTGTCACGTTCAACAATGGAAGCCTTGGGTGCGGTGCCGGGCATCCTGGAGGGGAAAATCCGTTTCAGAGCGCTCGGCGGCAAGTCTACTGAGTTGTACTTGAGTCCTTGTGGTCACCTGTGCATGAAGATTGACGAGTGGCCTGAGGAGCCGTTCGAGTGGCCGGGAGACTTCCCTTTCAAGAAGTACGGTAGACATGGACCGCCCGATGCAAGTCACCCCAACGCCTTTCCACCCGGCAGAGCGAGGCTTACAGCCATTGCAGATTTGAATCTAGCGCCCAGGCAACCGAATGCCTACTCAGGCTCGCCATCGGCCGGTGGATCCGCCCGAATGGCTTCTTCGCTGGCGCGACCTGATGCACCACCTGGACGAGTTCATCTACACGACGCAGCAGGCGGTGCTCTACTACTCGGCCGCAACGCTCGGCCCAACCTGAAGGACCGGATCCTCGCCGTGTACATGGAACCCGGCTCGGCTGACGATGATGACGACTCAGGCGGCCATGGCAGCCATGGCCGGGCTACAGATGAACACCTACCCGCGCAGCCCCGAGGAGTGCACTCACACACATGGCACGGGGACGCGGACTTACTCGGCTGCCGGGATGAAGATCAGGCTGTGCGACAGTTGCGGAATGAGATGGGCAATCACGGCCAAGGGCGAGGCGCTCCCGGCCACCCCCAAGGCAAATCCCAACGCCAAGACGCCCATGGGTCTCACCTACGTGCAAAAGCAGAAGCTCCTCGACAGCAAGCCTCGCAAAGCAAAGGCAAAAGCGGGAGTTCATGGAGGTTTGGCAGGGTCGTTACCGCCCTCATCGGCCTGCTCGCCGGCGCCGCTGCCAACTTCGAAGGCCCCGCCGCCTCCTCCACGACAGAGGGAGCCCAGTCCGAGTCAGACGCCGATGATGTTCCGGATGCATGGACAGCGACGAATGCCACCGAGACAATGGCACGGCGGCAAGCGCTCGGCAGCTCGGACGAGATGAGTGTGAACTCCGAGGCTCGTTGGAACACCCTGCGGAAGACTCAAAGACGAAGGCAAGTTCGCGACGAGGACCTGAACCCCAACAGCGGGTACATGAACGCCGAGGAGATTGCCATGGCGCAGGATCTCTACTTGGGGGAAGGCCAGGACGACGATCCGAACTACTGGGAGGAACGCATGGCCAGGGTCGACTGGGACGAGGACGACGCCCTGGACATGCCGCGAAATCTGTGAGTGAAGAGGAAACCGAGGACAATCCGTCTGCTCTGCATCCCACCAGCTCGGCAGACTTCCCTCTCGGCCCCGAGGATCGCGGATGCTTTGCCTTGAAGCCAGGCCAGCGAAAGCGCCTGGCCGGAGCAGCCAAGGCACTCTTCGATGTGTGGTCCGTGGAACAACAGCTATATCAACAACGTGTCCAGCAAGGTCGCAGGGTACGTCAGTGTCGCACGGACCTGGTGGAGATCTTCGGAGGCGAGGCTGCCATTAGCCAGGAGGCTTTGCGCAGTGGCCTTCGTGCACTTCAGCCCATCGACGAGGTCTACGGCCAAAAACTCAACACTCCCCAGGATTTCCAGGACCTCGAAAAATTACTTCGTCTGCGTCAACCTTACTTGGTGATTTGGGAGCCTCGTTGTACTTTGTGGTCGAACCTTCAGTACTTCAGCCACTCCCCCGAGGATTTGGACCGTCTCCGACAGCGAGAGCGAAAGTCGGTGGCATCCATGTGCAAGGTCATCGAGTCCCTCTACCAGAGCGGCATCCATTTCCTGCTGGAGAATCCGCTCCACACGCCTTTCTGGGAAACTCCGGAACTTCGACGATTACGAGGTCTCCCGGGAGTTCAACTCGGTGAAGGGTGCATGTGCGCTTTCAACTTACGAGATGCGCAGA